GGCGGCGGGGGGGGGATCGGGGGGTGTAAGGCAGCCGAGGCGGCGACTGATGCGCACCAGTGGCAGAAAATGGCTCCTTTCCCTTGGAAAGCAGGCTCCATATTGCAGAACCCAGCAGCAGCGGCAACCCAGAGATCGGCGCGGGAGGGGGAGGGAACTAGAGAATAATACCCCCCCTCCCTCCCCGCAGTCTCCGGTCCGATCGAGGTCACTCCGGCGCTGTCATCCGGCTTGCTGCCCCTGCAGGCGGGGAGGCGGCGGTTTTCACTTGACGATTCCGCCCTCGTTATTGCGGGATCGAAGAGGTCCTATGTGAGCTCTGGGGGGGGGGGGGAGGGTGGGGGGGGGGGGGGGGGGGGGGGGGCGAGCTGGATGACAGAGCCCGGGCGACCGAGCAGGGGGCCGGCATGGGCTGGACTCGGCGAGGGGGGGGGCGGGCTCTGGGACGGGCTCCCCCGACGGGATCCGGGTGCCTTTGCAGCCCTTTCCCCGAGGCGTGCTTAGAATTCCTCCGGAATAATAACTGCGCTAAATCAACCGAGTGGCTCTCTGGTCCTCCTCCCGCCCCGCGCCCAGCCTCCTCCTCCTCTCGGCCCATCCCCCTTCTCTGCGTAAACGCAGTTCTGGAGGCGCGTCCGGGAAGCCAACCGGGGAGGAGGGCTAACAGGAGGAGGGTCCCTCGGAACAGCTATGGGGGGGGGGTATGGGGGGGGGGGGAGAAGGGCTGCCCTCTTATCAGGGGCGGAGGGTGACGATTGCTCCATAACCGCTAAGTGTACCTGCAGAAAACTCTGCCACAAACCCCTCCTTCCTTCCCTCCTTCTGCAAGATATAACACGTGGGAGCCGGAGGAGAACATCCTGGACCCCAGGCTGCTGATCCAGGGCTGCCTGCCTCGGCCAGGGGGGAGCCTCGAAACAGCCGCTGCAGCGCGGGATGAAGCCCCGACCGTGCAGCCGGGGGCAGCCAGTCCGGCCGGGGTGCCCCTCCCTCTCCCCCTTTCGGGCGCTGAGCGGTAGCCCCTCTCCTGCGCGGGGAGGCTGGCGGGAGCCCCTCGCCCGGCGCCTCGCTGAACTCCGCTTTAACCCCTTCGCCGCTGCAGCGCAGGGACTTCCTTTCCAGCGCCGAGCGGCCTGCTTGGGAGCGACTTGCAAGGTGGTGGCTGGGCACGTGACGGAAGGGAGCGGTGGCGGAGCGCCGCCTGCGTCTGCTGCGCTTGGCAGTTTCTGCAGCGGGCCTTCGGTCGGAGGCGGTGTCGCGGTCGCAAAGAGAACTCCCCCCCCCCCCCGGGGGGGGGGGTGGGGGGGGGGGGGCACATGTGTGGAGGCGGGTTGGCCCGGCCAGTTGCAAAGCGCCGCTCTCTGGGTCAGAGCCCTGAGCCAGGCCGAGCTCCCAGCGCCCCGCTGCCCGGGACTCCACACTCCCTCCACACACACACACACCCCCGCAGCGTGCGCCGGGTTTCCTGCAGCGCCGGTAGCTCAAGCCAAGCGGTGACCTTCGGACCGTGGGGGAGAGATGCTCTCCTCCGCCTGGCCTGACGCTTGCAGCCTGCTAGGCCCTCTTCGGAACTGGCTGCGTGTTCGGTCACGCTGGGACAGGTGGACGCTGGGAAGGCAGGCCAAGCCGGGCGCTCCTTGTGGAAATCCTAATGAGGCGATTAGCATCCAGTGCCGCTCCGGCTTTCCCGCAGCCACAGGGTCTGTGGCTTCCACCTCCCTTGCACTGCATGGGAGGGAAGGGGGCTGCAGCGTGGGGTCTGTAGAGTGGAGAGGAGCATGCCCAGAGTTCCTTGCCTAGGCTAACTTGATACATGCCGGGCTGTTTCTCAAGATCTCAGGGCAAGTCTTTGTTCCTGTCCTTCCAGTTGACTCCTTTGTGTGCAGTTGTTTGATTCTCTGTGGAGAGAAATGAAAAAGCCCTGGCTGAAAAGGAATGCTTAGTGTGTGAGGAAGGGGATCGTGAGATTTAGCCTAGGCTATCTGCAGCCCAGTTCTTGTATCCATTTCTTACTTGAAAGTGCACCCACCCCATTGACATTGATTGTAGGGCAGCAGCTTCACAGAGAGACCCTAAGCATGGAAATAAGACTGGTATAGGGCCTATTGGGAAGTGCGTCCTGTTGAACTTGATACGTTTTACTTCCAAGTAATTGTGCCTTAAGATGGCAACCTGTGCATTTGTTTTGAGATTGTCAGACTAAGACTGGAACAACTTGTGTGGGGTACAAGTGGGTAAATATTCCACTGCTGTCTGTTTGCAAATCAAGGTGAAACTGATGTTCTCAATCCAGTTTTAAGTAATAGGTTGCAGGTAACTTGCCCTGAGCATTTGAATGTCTTATGCTGTTGCAAAAGAGAAAAACACTGGGTGATCTGAAAAGTTACTGCTTTTGAGATAGAGAGAACACGAACACTAGAAAAACTCTTAGTTCCTAGGAACTTGAAACCCCCTTCCAACTTGTCTATGGATTCTTAGACCTTCATAGGGACCTTGATAATTTCTTGGTGATATAGGGCAGAGGGCACTTTCATGTACAGTGCTGTTTCTGTGATTGCTGTGTTTATATGTACATTTAGTTCAAAAGTCATGCTCCTCTATCTTGTCTTAACCTTCATGCATGCATGAGGTGTTTTTGGTTTTTGGTTAGAATGCTCTTGATTGTGAATCCATGGATTTAAGTCTGTTCTGTATGAATAACTCTGGCAGGGGCCTGGGGGAAAGGATGCCTGCTGGCTGCATCAGTTCTTTTGCACTTAATACTGTAGGGCTCTCCCCCTCCCCTGGTAACTATGCAGCCTGATCCTTTAAATAGTTACTGATGCTCAGTAACTGCAGCCTTAACTGTATCTTCATCCTTAACTAGAATGACAAAGGTCATCCCCCCCTTCCTTTCCCCAATCTCTAGTGTGTTGTTGAAACGGGCTTTCCTAATGACACCGATATTAATTTTTTTAAACTATACATGTTTCTTCAGGGAGAGGCAGGAGCAACTGATGGGATACCGCAAGCGAGGACCAAAGCCGAAGCCGCTGGTTGTTCAGGTGAATTGTGTCAATCCTTCTGGTGTTCCTTTCCTTTAATGGAGCTGAAACAATAAACAGTAACACTGACCAAGTCCTGAGCGTTGCTGGATAGGCTGATAACAAAAGCTGTATTATTGCTGGTGTTTTGTGTGGTGATTTATAAGTATCCCCTTCCTTGTTAAGCTCCTATCCCTGGAGAGGAGAGTTTCATCTTGGTTTCATCATGCTCGGGGAGAGAATGTGTACACCCTATACACAAATCCATTGTTAATTCTGAATGCCAGAGGAAGCCCCACCCACCTTCTCTCCTGCAGCCAACCAGCTGTGGCGTCTAGGGCTTCTTGCCAACGCTGAAAAAAACCAGAATATATTCTAATAACTGCACAGCAGACATGGGCTGCACCTTAGATGTCCATGATTCAAATCACTTTCCCCAAGAGAGATGGCTCCTTGGATGCTTTATGGGAGCATAAGATTCCTGACTTCATCCTCTCTTCCTCTGGCTACCAGTTCTTGGCTCTGTTGTGGAGATTAACAATCTGTGATGCTTGTGGCTTGTCAAGAAGTAGGTAAACAAAAACAAGTAGTGTGGCTGTAATTTTTGCAGCAATGTCCTTTGAGCATTTTTGGTTGCACATTAAGCTATGTATGCACTACATGTACGTTTCTTTTTTTTAATTCCAATTTTTGTGTGTTCAAAATCTCAGTAGGTTGGAAGGATTTATCATCTCCTTTCAGTCAATGTTTGAAGAATCATAGCTCAGAGGTCCCAGGTTCAGTTCCCAGCATCTCCAATTAAAAGGATCAGGTAGTAGGTGATATGAAAGACCTCCACTTGAGATCCTGGAGGGCTGAGATGCTGTCAGTGAGAGCAAACAATGCCGACCTTGATAGATCACTGATCTATATATAAGGCAGCTTCATGTGTTCATATATAGCTTAGTCATTTAGGGGATAGATTAGACAAGGACTTGGCATTCAAAGCATCCCTTAATGGTGTAAAAGTTCTGTGTTTTGTAGCATGTGGTTCCATTTTGTAAACAGTCCCAATAAGAGAGACCAGTTTTTTTTCCTCTTGCTGATCCTTAATGAATGCCTTTCTTTCTCTTCCCCTCTCCCTTTGCAGTTGCCATCTTTTGCACGCCGCTCCAATGTCCTCACTGGCCTTCAGGACCCTGCTATGGAGAATAGGTCTAAGCTGGACCTCAGCAGTTCTGGGAAAAGCCAGCAGCATCAGTATGAGTTGAATAGCAAGAAGCACCACCAGTACCAGCCCAATGGTAAGGACAGCACCATAAAGCATCAGTCACACAGCAAAGGAAAGTACTACTATCAGCTGAATAGCAAGAAGCACCACCACTACCAGCCTGATCCCAAGATGTATGAGCCTCATTACCAGCCAGGCAGCAAGGAGCCACAGCAAGGGCAGGCCTGCCTGGATCACAGCAAAAGCTCGTTGATGTCTCATTCAGACAAATGGTCCCATGGTGCATCAAAAAGCTTGCTGAACCCGGTGAAGAACTTGAATACTACAGAAGGAAAGAATGGGACAGAGAAGAACCTGTCAAGTGGCACAGGCCCGCCACTGCCACCACCCCGGGATGGTGTAGGCAGCAATGGTATTGGAGGCAAAATGAAGATAGTCAAGAATAAGAACAAAAATGGCCGTATTGTGATTGTCATGAGCAAGTACATGGAGAACGGCATGCAGGCCGTGAAGATCAAGTCTGGAGAGCCACCCAAGAAGCGGGTGGCTGAGGACAGGACTACTAAGAAAGGGACTGAGGATAGGCAGGAGTCCTGGAAAAAGCATGGGGAGGAGAGATGGCTGGCCAGTGATCCCAAGGGGAAATCTGGGACTGAGGCAAGTCAAGTCCCTACTGAGTGTGTAACCAGTCCACTAATGGCAACATCACCAGGCAAAGAACCACCTGTTCCTGAGCCACAGCCTCTGCAGCTTACCACCAAGCCAAACATAGTCCCATGGTCCTTGGAATCCAGTCAGCAAGAGCACAATCCTGCCAGCATGGGAGTGAACCTCTCCTCCAGCTGTAGTGGATCCCGGAAACGCTGCTTCTCTGAGCCCCATGGGGACAAGGAGACTGGAAAGAAACGCCTCACTTCCCGGAGCATCAGTACTCCCACCTGCTTAAGCCCACCTGTGCCAGAGAGACCTGAGCCCCCTGCTTTGCCTGCCTCCCAGCCGGAGGTCATCCTGCTGGACTCGGACTTAGATGAACCCATAGACTTGCGGTGTGTCAAGGCTCGGGGGGACATTGATCCTGGCCTGGTGCAAGTGAAGCCAGAAACTGTGCTGCCACCAGCAGACAAACCTGTGCCAGAGCATCAGAAGCAGGTGGAACAGTTTGAGGTGGAGGCAGAGGAAGAAGATGAGGAGCCCATGCCAGAGTTCAAGCCTTTCTTTGGGAATATAATAATTACAGATGTGACAGCAAACTGCCTGACTGTGACTTTCAAGGAATATGTAACAGTGTGAGGAGGCTCTGGCACAGGCTCTTGGCACTCTCCCTTGGCAGCCTGGTACATGACCCTCCTCTAAGGTATTGTTCTACCCAGAGTAACTATATGGTATGGTGTATAGGGCTGGTCCTACTGAGATCGGACGCCTCCCTGTCCCGGAAGAAGAGCAGGCAGGCTCAGAAATTCAGCTATGCTTCTCAACTGGTTGGTTCCTGAAGTGTCATCTCTGCCCTCGGGGGTGGGGGGTGTTGGGCATTGGGAGGTGGTAAGGGTGATGGCTTCCCAGTGACCACACGGGAGAGTTACATAGTATTATATTTTAACAGTGCTAACTTGTTGAGTGGTTTTTGCTCCCGTTTGTACGTGGTGTTGCTGAAAATGTATTGTTTGAGCTGAAAGCGGGCCTCCCTGGGTGGGCCATGCTAATATATTTATTTGTAGGTATTTATATAATGAAATATAAAAATAAATCCTAGATTTATGGAGTTTCCTAGATCGCCATATTATATATATATATAATTATATAAAATACATATATTATATATATATAAACTATATCAAATATTTTCTGTTCTTCCTTTTTTTGAAAAAAACCACTTGTGGTTTTGTTTTCCTTGCCCTTTCTTTTCACAAAACTGCAAGACCGTCCCTTCCACTGGTATATATTTTTTGATACTGTCAACACATGTTTTTTTCAATGTGCAAAAAAAAAAAATCATTATCTAAAGCTAAACAAGCTATTATAGAAACTGCTGCTACTAGAAGTGTCTAAACTATAAGCTTCCAATTATTATTAATTGCTTGAATGTAAATATTAAATGGAGATGTTAAAAGTGCATTTGATGTTCTGCAGCTAGCCTAGGTCTGGGTTATGAAGATCAGCTGTAAAGCAGTGGGAGCTGGTGGCCACCTGTTGGTCTTCTGAGGGTTGTATCGCTGAGGAAGGAAAATGTGTCATGCAATCATTGCAAAGGACTATAAACCTTTCCAAAAACAACAGGAAGTTTTGAGTGCCTTTGTTGCAACTTTGGTGTCTCTTGAATCCTGCTGTTGTGCACATGGTCTAAGCATATGTTGTTGCTCTGACTCTCCAGTCTTAATTGGGTTACTTTCAATGTGGCCATTCTTCTCTGTTGCTGAGAGCTGATCATCTTTATGGGTTCTCCCCCAAAGGCAGCACTGTAGTTTCTAATACTTAAATGGAGTGGAACAGAAGGGGATTCCACATTTATTTATTTACATTTTTAGTCTGTCCTTCCTCCAAGGAGGTCAGGGTAGTAAATATTTTCCCTTTCCATGCCATTCTCTCTGTAGCCATGGGAAGTACATTAGGCTAAGCCAGAATGAGTGGCCCAAGGTCATCCATTGTGTTCCAAGGCTGAGGCACAATTTGAATCCAGGCATCTCTGATTCTTGTGTAGTCCTCCAACCTCTTCATAAGCTTGGTCACCCAACTGATGACCATATGTAACAGAAGGAAAAATATTTTTTACAGAGGCTTTTAGTACCCAATTGCTAGATTCCACATATAGTCTTAAAATACTTCGTTTTTAAAAGGAGAGGCATGACTTCTTAAGAAATCCTACTCTGGCATATGGTAGAGAATGTGGCAAAGTCAGTGGTCTGTGTCTACTTGCTGAGAAAGCTACCAGGAAGTAAGGTTTCTGCCAGATCAGTATTCCCAAAGGAGAACACTGTAGAGCTGTAGCCATGGATGTCAATTGACCGTATTGTTTTGTGGCACTATGATTTCTAAGAATCTGTGATGTTCCTAGAAATAAAGGATGTCCCTTAGAAACTATGCTGGCTCTGCTGGGAAATGTCTTGAGTAGAATGTCTAATCAGTGCTTGGGATGTGAGGTCACAGGTGTCCCATGGATGTTGCTCTGAACTTTTAAAAGTGATGGATACACACATAACACATACACATCTGAAATATGCTCAGGCTGCCCTGGTACAGTTTTGCAGCTCCTGGACTAATGTCTTCTATTCTTGTGCTATAAGGAAAAAGGTGCCTTCTGAGGCCTTGGTGTTACTGAGTGAATGAAGAATCCATGGAATCCTCTCTCTCTCTCTCTCTCTCTCTCTCATATATATATATATAAAGAATAGAAGACATTAGTATATATATATATATATATATATAAGCCCTAGTGTGTTGGCACTTTCCAGCTCTCCCATTGGCTGTGCTGTGTGCTCCATCAGCTATTGGCCCGTCAACCGCCACTCAAGAGTACTTGTGTGCCATTGGCTGGGTGCTGGGTCCGCTCCTCTCCCCTGCCCACTACCCACTTGGCCATTCCCTGTCAGAATAAACTGCCAAAATTGCTGTGGGGCTCACTTTCCCCTCAGTGGCTGTTGCTAGGTAACCAAGCTTGGTTCTGTCAGTAAAAAGGCAGGTGCAGGAAGACCCTTTCCAGGCCTACTTTGGCCTTTGTGGGGAACTCATTGGGGCCAGGCCTGACTAGGGTTGCCAACTGCAGGTTGGGAAGTAGTTCCTGGAGATTTTGTGGTGGAGTCTGCAGAAGCCAGAGTTTGGGGAGGGAAGAGGCCTCAGCTGAATAGAATGCCATAGAGTCCATCCTCTAAAGCAGTTATTTTCTCCAGGGGAAGAGAGATCTGTTTTCTGGGGTTCAGTTGTGATACTAGGCAATCTTCAGGCTCCACCTGGAGGTTGGTTACCTTAGGCCTGGCAGTGCCCACTGGGTGACTTGATGACACTTGACTGGTATGACAAGTAGGCCTGGCTGCTTGCTCCTGTTCACCAGCAGCAGTCCCTCTAGGACAGCTGTTGTGGTGTAGCAGTTAGCGCTTCAGAGCAGTGTCTACCAGACCCAGGTTCTTGCTGTGGAAGCTGAGTGGGTGATTTCAGACCCGTCAGACTTTCAGCCTAACCTCTACCTCACAGGGTTGTTGTGCAGATCAAAAGGGGAAGAGGAGAATGATGTAAACTGTTTTGATCCCCACTGTGGAGAAAGACTCTAATTTTCCTCATAGGGACTATTGTTGCCAGTCTCCAGGTAAGGGCTGGAGAACTGCTCTCCAGATGGCAGAGATCAGTTTCCCTGGAGAAAGTAGTGGACTTTGTCATTATACCCTGCTGAGTTGGCTACCCCATGACAGCCAATGTGACGTAGTAGTTAGCGCTTCAGAGCAGGGTCTGCCAGATCAAGGTTCTTCCTGTGGAAGCTGATTGGGTGATTTCAGACTACTCACAGACTTTCAGCCTAACCTACCTCACAGAGTTATTGTGCAGATCGAAAGGGAAAGGAGAATGATGTGAGCTGCTTTGGTCCCCACTGCGGAGAAATACTGTACTTTTCCTAGGTAGAGGCTGCAGGGAGGGGGGCGGAGATGGGAAGCTGAAGTCAGAGGGTCAGATAAATGTAGATTGATGGTTGGCTGGGAAGAAGATAGGGTTGCCACCTCCAGGTTGGGAAATTCCTGGAGATTTGAAGGGTGGAGGTTTGAGCAGGGGTGGGACCTCATACAGGTACAATGCTATAGACTCCACCCTCCAAACCAGCCATTTCCTCCTCGGGAACCAATGTTGCCAATCTCCAGGTAAGGGCAGAAGATCACTCAAATTTACAACTGCTTTGCAGATGGCAGAGATCAGTTCCCCTGGAGAAAACGGTGGACTCCGTGTCATTGTACCTTGCTGAGGTCACCACAATAAATTGATGCTCAGTACCCAAGCCAAGCCTGGGGCGCACCTGCCCAGAGGCTCTTTCTAGAGCTCATTGTATTTATTTCCACAATGGGCTTTATTCCTAGTATAGCTATAATTCTGCTCAGAAGTGAGAGCTGGTGGTTCCAGTCTGTTGTTCTTGGATATTGGGTTGTTAAGACATGCAGATGTCCTGTTCATAGATAGCTCATGGTTTTGGTGTGTTTTCTCTGCTTCATGTGCAAACTTTCCCTTTTACGTAGTCAAAAACATAGATTGCTTAATAATATCCTTATCCTAGCATACTTATTTGAGAGCAAGCCTCATTAAGCCACATTTAACTCTTGGACTTGTGTCTTGATAAACATGCATAGGATTAGACTGCATACTTTTTACTTTTGTCAGAACCTTTTTGAAGAAGAAATCGGGAACTGCAGTTGGTTCACAAAGCTGAACCACAGTTCATTTACAGCTGTTCAAAGTCTGTGTCTATTGTAAAGAATATAGTCATTGCAGGATAGAATCTAAAATCAACAGGATGGCAGTACAGATGCAATCAGTGGCTTAGTCTGGTTTATGAAATGTATCACTTCTCCCCCCCCAAAAAAACATCTGGCCTGATAGCTAAGTGTATTTTCCCCCAAAATAAACTTCACTTTTCATTTAAAATCTGGTTTCTTTACAATCAGACTTCTTGCTAAATATGAACCAGTTATATTGTGGGGAATAAAACATTGCATTGGTACTGCTGCAATAAATGTGTCTCAGCATTTTAGAACAGGGTTTAGTTTCTTCACATGAAAAACTATAAAGCTTTTTTTGGGGAAAAAAAGTTTGAGGACATTTGATTCTTTAAATGAAAATGCTGTCCCTGGCCCCATCCACATGAATCTGTGCACTGAATTGCCTGTGTTAACAGCAGAGAGAAAATTGGTTCAGCTTTTGAATGTAGGCTGAATGTAAGGTCCCCCCCCCCCCCAGTTTTGTTAACACACATACACAGACTCTTCCCTCTCAGTAGGCAAAGAGGATTTTTGTTGACTGCACTTATGCCCCCCCCCCAAAAAAAACCCCAGCGAGTAGAAAGTGTACTGGGGGGTTAAACAGGCTGTACTGCCGTATGACATTAAGCCAAAATTGTCCTGAGTAACAAATGAACAAGTCTGGAACGGTTCCAACTAGGTTGTACTTTTAAAAATCTTTTGGGTCTGACCAAAGAGCAACAGCTTACCAAGAACTAATGCAATGCAACTTGGAGCCCAACCATATATGTGTTTACTCTGAAGCAAGTGCCATTGAGTTCGGTGGGGTCTGTTTCCTTCTAAGCAAGCATGCCTAGGGTTGCACCCTCAGTTCTCATAGCTCAGGCATGGAGCCACACTTCCTGTATCACAAACATGTCAGTGGTTATGAGATGAATCTTCCTGTTTCTCTAGCAGCCTTAATTATATTTAATAGCTTTAATCATTGGTGGCTTGCAGTTTGTGCAAAACGCATTATCACTACTATATTAAGAATAATGTAATTGCAACTTCTTTCTCGCTAAGCCCATTGCTTCTGTTGGACTTTCTCCCCTGCTCTTCTTCCCCCCTACCCCTCCCCTTTACCACTGCCCTGAAAACAGAAGCAGCTGAAGCATTAGGCTTCTTGGCAGAACATCTGTGGGTGTTTTGAGGAACGCCATTTCCTGCCAGCTAGATCTTGCTCTGAAAATCTATGCAAGTAACTGGCAGCTTGATCAGGTGC